CCATGGACAACAGTTAAGAGCTTTCTTGTCTGGGCATGTGAATGCCAATCTCTTGAAAATCTCCCTCACCCTAGTTGCACTCCTATTTTGAGTGGTCAACAGCGTCGTACAATTATACAGGCAGTAAAGTCAAACCAGAAAATGACCAGATACACCTTCAGGGATTGCTATGTACCCAGTGTTTCTCTTGATACTGGTAACTCTTTGTACTATTCAGAGTGACTGGATAAAATTGTCTACTAAATTTGCCTGTATAGTGGACCGGGTACTCAGAGAAGCAAACATTAAAAAATTGATAGCCAAGTCAAGACCGAGGCTAAAGCCTGATCATGTGTCTAAGAGATTGAGATGGGCTACAGCTCATAAGGACTGGACAGCTGATGATTTTCAAAGTGTGATTTAGAGTAATGAGTGCAGTGCGGAGAAATCTAAGAATCCAAAGCAACAATTGATATTCAGAGAACCTGCAGAGAAGTAGTTGGCTGATTGTGTACACCCAAAGGAGAAGAATAAGGGAATCTCGCTTATAGTTTGAGGGTGCTTTTGGGGTAAAATAAAAGGTCTATTAGTTCCTATTACTCAAACTATCAATAAGACCAAGTATGTTAAACTTTTAAGAAGATATCTGTTTCCTGTTATTCATCAAATGATTTCCTTTAGTATACAACTTGAAGATGTCCTTTTTCAGCAAGATAATGCTCCTGTTCACAAGGCATATAGTGTTATTGATTGGTTGGAGAGAAACAGTATTGAGATTGTAGACCACCCCCCTTATTCCCCTGATTTAAATCCTATTGAGCATGTATGGGTTGAGCTTAAAAAGCGATTGCACTAGCAGTATCCAAGGATTGCAGAGACTCCAGGAGGAAAAGAGGCTGTTAGGAGAAGACTTGCACATGTATTACCATTGGTTTGGGAGACAATTCCTGAGGAGTTTTTTGAGAAGTTGTGGAAATCAATGCCTGATAGAGTGGCTACAGTTTTAGAAGCAAGGGGAGGTTATACAAAATATTAGCTAGTTTAATTTATGGCAGGTCAATTGACCGTTGAATGTTGAGAGGTGCCAGTGGTTGTTGATCGTGAACTTGAACTCACGCACATGCACACCCGTTGACAACCCCACCGGCACTGCCCCACCATATGGTGCAACTGCAATTAAACATTGTCTCAGATCATGAACACTTCTGCCAAGTGACTGTAGATAGTCGGACAACCAGGATAGGTTGGATTTTTTCTCTGGGGTTTTCATTTCTTGAGGTTTGTCTTGTACAAAGAGGTTGATAGCAAGCTTGTAGATCGAAGGTGATTGCAATTGTAAGGCATTTTCTTATGGTTCAAAGGTTTCATCAGCAATAGTTGGTGATTAGAAGGTTTTCATCCTGTGAAGCAGATATACCATTCCACAGATTTTTGTTTTTCAGTACTAGTACAAGTACTACGGTACTCAAGCATAGCACATCTCCCACCCGCATCATCTCAACACGCACTGTAACTTACTGCACAAGTGGTATTGCACAAATAAAGAAACCGCATCGAAAATACGCGTGGAAAAAATTGCTGGCGCTGGGCCGTTATCAAATATTTATGAAGCGTCGGGGAGAGCACTGCGATGGGTCATTTCTTGGATGAAAACAAAATCACCAGAATATATCACAACACCTCACGAGGGAAATGTGGTGAATATGGCTAGTGACCCTAAAATATACACGATATAATCTTCACAATGCCGTGAGAAATGACTAGACCAGGACTTTCCAAAATCTCCATTACTAATGAACCTGGGGGTGTAAGGATTTTTGGAAAAAGAGAAATTTGTTCCATCATCGATTTCAAGAACTTGCTGGATTGTAAATTACGTGGGTTTTGTCAGTTCATGGCTATACGGGGTTGTGTCGCTTCATTTTTCAGTCCCCATCCTCTCACTTTGTGTACTTGTACAGTACTTATCCGAAAAATCTAAAAGCCTAAAAACAGTCCAATACCGGTACACTATAGCACCACACTATCCCAGATAAATACAGTAGTATGATGTGGTACGATATATTCCAATCGATGGGTATCATGGGTGCAGCACCAACTCTCGCACAACTCTCATATGGTGTCATGGCGACACTTCCTCCCGTATAACACAAGCCCCCGTGAGCCCACTGGAACAGGGAGGTTCGCACTTCTCAAACCCCCGTGAGGAAAAATCCACCTTCGGGCACAAGGCCTTACTTTGGCGGGTCAAGTTAATTTGCCCTAATAAGCATAACGTGAGGAGTGGAAGCTGTTTTCTCGTGCGGCACGGCACGGCATTTGTGATCTTTCCCGTGCCGTAGAGAAAGAGCTTTGCATTGAGGGCTAGAGCGCGGCAGTGATGGTAGTCCCGGTACCCAAATTGGTGCGGTATAGTGGTGCACATTCGTTTGTTCGTTCGTTCATGCCATTCTGTAAGAATATGCACCGCGATATCTCAGCTGACTCAATGAGCCGGCAGTTTCTGAACTACATTGATTTACATATTTTATTTCACCCCCTTCCCGCGATGGAAGGATTCCCCAAATACTTAGCGCGCTCCTCCCGGGAATCAGCGCGGCCTACCTGAAATTGGGTGAAAATGCCAACATGGATTGGTGCACCCCGCACCACAGCTCCGGCTCCCCAATAAATAAGTGTTGCGGTTGGCAATTTCGCCTTCCAAGGGGGGCAAAATGGATAGTCGCAGCATGGGATGTGGCATCGGGCGGGATTGGCCGACATCACTGACCTGGATAATTTCCAAAGGCGTGCAGGACACCCTAGTGGACATACTGGAGAGCGGGGACGTGGCCTGCGAGATATTTACGAGGTCGACACTGCTTGCGTAAACTGCGTACACACTGAGTAAGAATATTTGGACGAGGAAGGGTGAGAGATTGCGGATTACGGGGCAGTTGCTGGTTACCGTTTATGTTGTTTGTTTTCGGACCTTAATGGCCTCTATTACGGGATCCGTTACGAAGGAGAGCTCGTGGGTTGTGCTATATGGTGGGAATCCAGTGGATTTGGAGACTTGGACTAAGGGCGTAAGGGAGGTTGCCAAGTTGAGGATGTGTCCAGGAGCGGGCTATTGGGCCACAGTGAAGTTGAAGGACTAGACCTACTCCTAAGATGGGAAAACGCCCAGTATCATCAAACCCCGTATGATATCATCTACTATGAGATTATCAGCGGCATCGATCCACGATAGGTTCGGTTTAACAGGCCACGAAAACTGCGAATACCGGTTGATGAGATCCAACACACTCAGCAAGCTCAAGCTTTCTCGTGTGAGGAAAACACTAGAGGCCCCTGTCTTAGCGTACGGAGATTGGAGGTCTGGTGGAGATAGTGTATTATATCAGATTTTACTGTGCGCACCTTCCGTGTCGCCTACTATCCCAAATCTCCCAGGCCCCCACCAATACACATCAACAGACCGCTTCGCCTACGGCGTCCCCGGGATAACGTAAAAACGGATTGCGTGCTGCGACTCCTCTACGTGGACGTGCATGATGCCAACGAGCTGTACCAGGGCGGGCGAAAACTCGGCAGGGCCATCGCGGACTTAGCGGAGGTATTCATGGAGATTCTGGGCGAGTGCAGCGGTGCTCATAGGGAACAGGTGTTACACGAGCAGATGAGCCGAAGATAGGGAGTTTGGGAATCGGTGTGTTGTTAGGAGGAACGGGGAATGGCACTTGTGCGCATTGGACGGTCGAGTGGGGGTGGGGGAGGGGTTGAAGCTTGAGGGAGGGGATGCGCGACGTGAGCGGGTGACCTGAACCTTTTGGTCTCGCTGGTGTGGAGGGTCGTCGGGTGTGAAATGTTGGTTTTGGCGAATGTTCGTTTCATACACTGTCACTCGGGAAGCTCCAAAATGGCACCCGTGGCTGGGGCCTAAGTGGAACTTTGGATACATGTATCATAGTCATTGATAATCTGTACCAGACAAATGACCAAATACCGAGGGGCCGTTTAAACAATCCAAATATCTGAAACCACGACAAAACTTCCACAAACCTGTCGACACGATTAAGTCCTCGGCCACATTGCCCAGCAACCACTCAATTGCGACGTTCAGAACCTTACCTCATCACCCCATCTCACTCGCTCACTTGGAGTCACTCCAACTAATGTACGCAGGCATCACAGCAACCGCAAGGCAAACCCCCGAGCACTCATTGCCCTCATCAAACCGCTCAATCCACCCTACAAAAACGATTACTAAGATTCGCCTAGGCCTAGCTGATCTAAGCAACCTAGCATCCCACCAAATGTTGCAGCCGCCGCAGGTAAATCCCAACCACGGGGATAGCCCGGACTTACGGCTAGCCGACCGTCACATCTCCGTTCCACCTTACAAACGCATCAATAACATGATGGCCGGGGGATGGCTGCGCCTGCTTTCAGGTTGGCAGGATTTGAAGCGCTGAGGGGTTTTTCTTTTTCGCCCTCGAAGAGATATTCGATGCAGGGGTGGGCTGTCGGGTCCCACGTTAGGGAGAACAGAGGGAGGCTGTCTGAAGGAGAAGGAGGATAGAGCTGGAGGTCTTCTTCACGGGCACGGGTCGGGTTGGCTGTCCGGTTTGGACTGGGGGCGGGGTAGGGCGGCAGAGAGGATATGTGTTTTTATTTTTTCTTATTTCACGAGATTTGAAAAGTGGCGCGATCTTACTGTGCTAAGTGCGGTTGATTCTGGGATACCGTTGGTTTAGTGAAGGGGAGACATGATTAAACCCCAGCCCCGTCCACGAACGAGTACCGGTAGGAGTATTATACTCCAGAAGCTCACCCGCACGTGGTAATGTATAGTACAGTACGGGCATGATGCAGGCCCCGGAATGAAGAGCCGGAACATTTGATGAGCCCTCGGAAGTGCACAGACGATTTGCCATGCAAAAGGCCCGCCCCTCTGTGTTCGGGCTCTACACACCGGGGACTCGTACTCGAATATAAAAATTGGTCCACGGCCTGGCACGGTGCTCACCCAGGACCCCATCCCCATTGCATCTCAAAGTACGAGTAACCATATCTTGACTGTTCCAAATCGGTTAGCCTCATTTAACACACCCCCGCTTGGACCAACATCACACCCAACCCATCCCAGCATCCCACCAAACAACGAACCAGGAAATAAACCTAAATAGCACCTGCGAAACGGTAAATACAGGACTCCCGGTACCTTGTATCACGGTACTGTACAACGGCATCTACGGTAACCTCATCCCCGGGCAGGGAATCGCTCTTTTTCTCCCTCTTCCCATTTTAAAAAAACTGCTCCCAAGTCTGCGCCGCTATCAGGCAGAAGTTTTAATACCAAACAATCCCCCTCAATACGTCCTCCCTTATCCTCCGCTGTTGTATCGACCATACAGTATATATCCAGAGTTGCGTTGGCTATTCCCAGATTTGCCGTGACAAATTGTTACACCATCGTATTGACGACGACAACCCTTACGACGACTTCAGCACTCCCACGGGAAGGTCGCGCGTAACTTACTTGATTGGTGAGATAGGTTACTCGGGCTCACCCAACCCAACGCTTAAATACCCAGCGACAACGAAGAACCAACGACCAACTCACCATCAACAAATTTCAAAATCATGGCTTCGAACACGCCAGGAGAATGTTGTATGAAGGGGGTTATGCACGAGGGCACGCCGAAGGGAGAAATGGTGCAGTTCGCGGAAGGTTTGTTGCGAGGTCTCAGTTTGTACTAGATTGATAACTAATATGGAGTCTCTCACCAGTGGAAACATACATCACCAAGCCTGCCAGCGGATCTAGCGAGAAGGTGATCCTGCTATTGACGGATGTTATGGGGATTTGTAATAATCCGAAACTGTTTCGCACCCTCCCTCTCCTTCTCCACCCTCACCGGTCCCGTTATGCTAACAGCAACGATACCAGCATTGCCGACAACTTCGCCGCAAACGGATACACCGTCGTTCTTCCCGACATCTTCGCCGGCGACAAAGTCCCCCTCCCAGCGGATCGCAAGCCAGGATTTCAACTTCCGGAATGGCTAAAGAACCATCAACCCCACCACGTCGTCCCGATCATCCAGGAAGTGATGGGTCAAATCCGGGCGGAGCTTAGTATGCCTCCCCCTCTTCCTCCCGGGGAGGACACTTGGAGCAGGACTAACACGCAATAGAGCCCCGCAAAATCGGCGCAGCAGGCTACTGTTTCGGTGCAAAATACGTCACGCAACTCCTCTCCGGCGAGATCGACGCAGGCTACAACGCTCACCCCAGCTTCGTCACACTGGACGAACTCTGCGCCATTAAAGCCCCGCTTGCGATTTCTGCCGCTGGTATATCCCCTCCCCCAACCATCATCTTTAAAACAATGACAGAGCTAATAACGATAACACAGAAACTGACTCAATCTTCACCCCGGACCTACGCCACGCGACGGAGGCCAAGTTGGCGGAGATCAAGGCTACCTACCAGATTACTTTGTTTTCTGGGGTGGAGCATGGGTTTGCGGTGAGGTGCGATTTGGCGAATGAGAAGCAGAGGTGGGCGAAGGAGGAGGCGTTCTGGCAGGCTGTTAGGTGGTTTAGGTTGCATCTTGCCTAGATCATATTAGATGAGCTTTTAAAGGTGGGGTGTACTGGGTCTGGAGGCGAATGCGAGTGGGATCGAATGATTCCATGGTTTGTAGGTCAGATGAGGGTTGTAAGCGTGCGTTCAATTCCCGAATACGCTATTTTGTGATTGCCAGTATGGCGGTGAACCAACCAAAGGGGCTCCGGATTACTATGAGCAGATAATTCGTCCGACCGGTTACTAACGATGCCATGAGCGGAAATACCGGGAGGGCTGTATGATATTAACAAAAGGGGCGCCCCCCCCCTCAAGTTTTCTATACAAAATCCCGATCCCCGATTAACCACCAGAAACAACCACAGCAAATCCTGTCCTCCAAACTTTGAGAATAAGAGGAGCGTCCTTAGGGAGTTTAGCGTCATTGATTTTTCAATTTTCATCAACAGTCCCAAATACCAACACGGAGACCTGAGGCCGGTCCACTGTCGGTATTTGCAAAATCCCATACAAATTGGCGGTCCTAGCGTGGATTTGGACCTCATTTCCGGTTTTCGTATGATAGAACAATCCCTGTAGCCTTACATCTAATCATATAAATCTTTAAGTTAAACCCCTCTCATTCTTTGTTTCTGGGTGAATGCGTATTGGAAATTGGTGTCTTTTGCGGAAAAAGGGGAGCGTGTTTCTCTCGTTATTACAAAGCTAGTGCAGTAGCGTGCCCTCATACCCACTGCGGCGCATTACCAAACACGGGGCATCACTCGCTCACGTACCCTCGACAGCGGGTTCAGCGGAAAGGGGTAGCACAACGTCCCATCCAGAGCCGCCTATGAACAAACGGAGCCCACCGGGCCCGATTCGCACGCATCGGTGCTTGAGATCGTTTTTCGGATGATGTTATTGTCAAAACTGATTATCCCCCACACCCACTGATTCCAGCATTACCAACGAATACTAGGGCGCTCCCTTGTTTCCCGCGAAGAACATATTGTGACTGACCGGCTCTCCAAGGTGTGGTGGTGACGGGATATTTCTCGGGGAGTTGGTGTGGGTGGTGTTTCGTGAAGCGATGAAGAGGTTGCGCTTGGGGTGGGATATCTCATATCTCTGTATACATTTGGTACGGTATCATGCACATGTCTAAAGGATCTAATGAAGGCTAGGAATGGTAGAATTGGAATAGCTCCATTCAGGTTATCCGTTCTCCCAACTTTCGAAGCGTATATTATAGGTTTAACTCGCTGGATGGACCCCCCCATCGCCGAAGTGCCTCCCCCGCTGAGAATGAGCACGCACGAATTGTGAGAGCAAGCGGCGTAAGCAAAGTACCAACATTCACGCCGCAGTAACAAGAAGTAACAACAGCGCACCGGTGTCCTACCAGAGGATTATTCAGCAACGAAGTTTCAGCGACGTCGTGCGAATACTCGACAAAGCAGGGACCCGTTCCCGGTGAAGTTTGTCGTCGTGGGATCGGGATCCGTCAAGGGCGCGCAGTATGTGGAGGGCGCCCAATCCCATTTCGCCGCAAGAGGCCTCTGGTCGAATCGATCTCAGAAGTGCTTCAGCTCCGCTAACAATTCTCCCGGTCATTTTGCTACCCTGTTTTGCACGGTCAACTGTTAGGATTCTGCTCGACGATCTGTTGGCTTTCCCCTCAACTTCCCAAAGCAAGCGGTGGGGTTTAGGTGCTCCCAGCACTTTTTACCTTATGATTTGAGGCACCTGTCCGAACATTGCTTCTTCTCGCCGTACCCATATGTGATGCTGGCGGTGGGGGGGGAGGGGTCTGCGTGGGTGCCGTATTTCCAAAATCCGAATTGCTCACATGTCATCTACGGTAAACGATCCCGTCGCTCTAGTGTTTTAAACTAGAAATCACATTACTTTTGCTTACTAAGACTTTAGGAACCCCCTCTCCTATCCCCATTTCTAGAAGCCCCGATTCAAACCACACTCCTTCTATCATAACCCCCGGGCTCGATTACCAAAGGAACCGTTGACTTATTGTACATTACCGTTCGCAAAGCCTTCGCGGAAAGAGAGATACTGTGACAATGTCTTGGCGGCAATGAAGGTACTGGTACAGTACAAGAATTTACCTTCTATCTGCGGTCTGAATTTTAGATTCAATTGTTCTTTCCTAGAACAGACAATAAGGGAATTTATTGGTTATTTTCTTATCGCGTCCTTGAAGCTGGGAGATGTAGAGACGGGATTGAAAAAATGATGGGTATATCCAGTACCCCTCTTAATTTGAACGGCTGATATGTGATGGAGCCTTGTACTGTACTGTACATAACAACCACCAATACCTCCCACTTAAATGTCATTTTCTTGACTACTTTCCAATAATTAAAAATCCTGTAATATTCCCCATATTATCTATGGGTTTGCCAACCCGCTACGAAAAATTTGGGCACACCCCCCTTGACATTGTGCTGTGAGAGGGTGGTGAAGTTGAATAAAATGGCCATCTGAAGAAACCTTTAGAAGCATTACTATTATAGAAGGTTTCCGTCCGCGTACCGGTACCACACGGGGCCGCTGCAACTCATGACTGGCAAAGTATGGCGGTTAACCACATTCCCTCGGTACAAACTCCCCCGTGGGTTTCGCAGGTATTGCATACCGCCTAGTAGGGTAGGTTGGTAGAGGACCTCTTAAGCGATTGAAGGATTTAACAAAAAAGTGAGTTCATAATTATTATGATATACGGAACTTTTACAACTCGTGAAGCACTCTTTCTGCATACCTATACTGGGTAACTTCCCTGCCCCCCCCAATTCGTTAATGGCCCACCGTAATGCTGTCTTTCCATACATTTTGTACTTGACGGTCACACGGGTACCAAGTAATACATATACTGATAGTAAGTTTGATGAGTGGTCAAGTTCTTAAGCATGAATAGTCACTTCTGGAACGAACTCGAGTATGATACATGTATCACAAGGTGTGCTTGTTCTCATCGCACTTGCCCTGATCACACAATGTGACCACATCCTGTGTTGTCCCCGTCCCCCAGGCAACCTTAAAGTGTACTGTACCAAACCACACAACGCTAACTATCCGTACTTTTTGACCTTATGGTTTTTGGAGGCACCGTGTAATAATATAGATACTAATTATAGAGGCTAATAGTGTACGCCAGTTCAAAAAATACAAAACACTCACCGGTGCACAAACACCGTTCAATCCCACTCCCACCTCCATCTTCTTCTGTAGTACGTCTCCCCTACATCTCCGTTTCCGGCTCATCCAGCCCCTCTTCCACCCGTCCCCAAAACTCCTTCTTTGCCCATTCATGAACCGTCCCAACACTCTCAGCCTCCTCAGTCTCCTTATTCTCCCATACCACCATCTCCAGCATCTTCGCAAGCATAACCCCCCGTTCTCCCAAAACTCCAAAAATCGCTTTGCACCAAAGGGTACTCTTCTTCCCCCTCGCCCCCATCCTCATAAAACACCCCGTGGCAACCCTCAGTGGGTACATGGTGAGCACTGGACCGTATGACTTCCTCTCTGGAGCGACAAAGTACTCTACAGACATACATATTTGCGCCGCTAGGTCGTATATTTCATCCGTCGTTACAAGAGGCGATTGACAGGCAGGGGTTAATCCGATTATTGTGTAGTTTAGAACTATTAGGTTTGCCCAGTAGAAGGTGTAAGTGTTTGCAACTCCGATGTTGGGGAACCGGTAGCAGGTAGGGAAGACCGGGGGGTCAATGTTTAAGGCGGAGAACTCTAGCCAGTGGTGCGCGCTGGGGGTGGATATAAAGTTTTCATACCATGCTTCCAGCTTGGCCTTAAAATCTAGGCACCGCCTGAGCAGCGAGGGATGAGCGGAGCGCGGGAGTGCGCGTCGAGCTTCGAGAATACCCGGGAGTTCCAAATGCAGGTCTTGTAGTTGCTGCATCGGGGTCTTTTGGGTCTTGGTCCAGGGGATGGTGAGCCATTCTTTGGACGCAAGGAAGTTGCGTTTGCAGCTCACAAGTGAGTTGGTTAACTATTCTTCTGTCAGCTTGTATTCGGGGACCCTATAGAAGAGGAAAGGGGGGAATACACTAGTACCACGAAAACTGGTAAATAAACGATGGCCCAATTCGGTAGTATGAGCTTCCGGCCCTCTCACTCGAACTAATAACTCCATACCGTCTGCATGTCGCTGCCACGTGAGCGGATCTGCACACCCCATCGTCTTCATAATGTTAGACAATTCAATATTTGGATCAGTATGGATGCGATGACCAACCTCGTACATGCCCAACAACATGGTCGCCGCTAATGTCTCGTCACGGGTATGCATGGTCTTGTTCGAGAGTGCGGCATTCAGCTGCGCCAAGGCCCTTGTGTATATCTTTGTACTCTCCTTGACGATCCGCTCGTCCCTGCTCTGCCGGCCGAAAAATACGGTGCACACTGCCATTGCGGAGGTATCCAAAACCTGAACGCCACAATTTATAGCGCGGGGAATTGCGTGAACCCATACCGAAGGGACCCCAGATGACGGACCATCGGGCGGTACACATCCATCCAGAAAACACGCTAGGAGTGCGGTTCGATAATGCGGTTGCGGTGGTGGAGAAACAGAGATTGTGAAACCCACTTCTCTAACCAAGCGTCTAGGGCTTACCGGGATAACATCCTTAGCAGAAGCGCTATTAGAAGAGCCGTCATCATCCGATGAGCCAGCCCGCGGATCTGAAGACACCAAAGCTTTGGTTGCATTTGGATTGAGTCCTGGACCAGTTGCATTACGGAACACGACCGCACGGTGATATCCCGCGCACACCCTATTCGATTTTATGCAGTTTCCACATTCTGGCCTTTTCTGATCACACTTTTCGATAATTAGCCTTGTCGCCAGCCCGGCAATAGACGCAATAGCGATGTGGAGGGAAAGGGGGTGTTATAAGATCCGATCTACACCATCCCCCTCCGATTCCCAACCCTTCAGAATCCGACCTGTCATGTCAATCCGTCGGATAAAAGAGAGGATGGAGCGGTAGCGAATCAAGGTGGGGCACGTTGGCCACCTTCTGTTCCAGAAGCCCCTGGGTTCGTGCATGAGGTGCATAATCTGAGATGATATATAGCTTACCCCAATCTTCCGCTTGCGACAGGTATTACAGCCCTTCGATCGCCCAGGAACGCCAACCATAACTCACCCGCCCAAATTTCCCAAAGTCCGATTCGCGGGATGAATCCTCGAAATTGCTCTTCGAACAAGCGACGCGTAAATCGCTCCCCAACACTTAGACGATGAGCTCCTCGGTAGCGCGTCAGCGAGAACCCCAGAGTCCTATCGCCTGACCTTTCTATGTGTCTGCAGCTCCGTCTGGTCTGATTGTATATAGTGCACCCGTCGTTTTTTAAACTCTCCGGAATGGGAAATAAATGAGTGATTCACTTAAAGTATAATTGATGGCTCCACGGCACTAGATTTTGCGGGGGGGAACTACCGTAACTTGGCCCACGAACACGTAACTCACGTTCCAGAAGGCTGTGTCATAAAAATGTCGAGCACCAGTTCTTGAGTCGGGGTGGGGCAAGTGCGTCCTGCTATGGTTTGGGTTCCAAACAAGGACGTGTTCGGTGAAGATGATTGGGGTGAGGTTTCTCGACGTTGGAAATTCCCGGGGTCGGTTAGTTAGTTAGGGCAACAGTAACAGTGATGATCCCTGCAGAGCTATTCCCAAAAGAGTTGCAATCCGCGAGAGGATGGGAACGCCTAGCAGCTCAGCGAGCTCATGCGATGTTGGCAGGACGAGGTGGCAGTACCGATACTTGAGCCCAGTCTCCAGAGCCGGGGAACTCGCTGGGGACCTTTACTCGTAGCTGGAGACTTCTGATGGCGCTTCCGTCGGCACCGGTATTATGAATTAATGAAGATGAGGATGCGAGATTCGCTTTGGAGAAACAGATACCGAATGTAGCGCACGCGGCGACAGTGAGTTGACGCGTTGGACAGAATCGAATCGATTGATTGATTGATTCGATTACTCCTGGCGCCAGGCGCTACTGCTCGCTAGTCCACAACCCTAACCCACCGCAATCCATTCCAACTCACACAACTGGTTATTATCGCCCAGAAAATTGCTATGAATTCTACCAGAAAACGAATAAATAAAAATTGGAAAGAAAAACATCAAATTTAGATGGTGACGTATAATAAAAGAAAAGAAAAGACAAATCAGACCTGACACATGTCCCCATCCCAAAGGCTAAGGTGGCACTCCACGGTGGCGCTCCATGAGAGTGGGAAGCCTCTGTATCCCTTTTCCATTTCCTAATCGGTGGAACGTAATTGTTTTCGCAAAAGGTTATTTACTTTTCCTTATCCAAGCCATGTCCCCATTAATATCATACATAATGGTCCTCCTTCCTTGCTATATTTCTTGACGGAGGAAATATCATAATATTATCATAAGAGGAATGAACTACCGGTATCAGTGAGATTTTAACTGGTTGAGTGGGGGACAGGGTTAGGGTTATCGTCAATCAGCTACGGTACCACACCAAATGAACCAGCGAGCAAGTACTCTACTGTACGAGTAATTTACAAGTACCGTATCATACCGGTACGAGTACTCGAGTACTGGTACTCTACCCTCCAGAGCAGGAATAAATATTCCTCCGGGCGGTGCACTCGTGAGCGCTTCCCTGTCCCTTCAGGAACCAATCATTGGCAACGAACGAGCCATCTGCTCAAGTACCGGTGTTGCGCCCCCTCCGAAGCCGCAGTTACTCGTAGATGGATGGTGCGTCGAATGCGCACTAGACCTTGGGAATTGTCGTGACCGTAACCCTTGACTACTGGTAAACCGTATGGTATGGTAGTGATGAATTGACTCGCAGATGTGTTGTGTAACTTGAAAGATAAGAGGAAGCAAAAAGAGGTGAAGCACGACTCAATTGGACAGGGAAGAACGCTTTTACGGTACGAGTATTTCGTCACTGTCTAACGAGTGCCTTGTCTAGTCCAAGGTGGGAGAGGGAGAGAAGCTTAAGAAGGGAAAACTCTCCTGCCAAGTGCTCCCCCTTCTTGAACAGGAATTTCTGCAGGGTCAACCCCCTACCGAATACACGACCACTCCATCCTACCCATCCTCATCAGCCCTCACCAGTACCTTTGTGCGTCACACGACTTGCCAATAGAACTGATCGACCGGATAAATTTATATGACGGACGCTCTTCGCCCCCGACGTCCTCATTGTCGAGCGCCCGAACCACAACGCCCAAGCGAGGAGCTGGATGGGATGGAGAAAAGTGCGAACATCGGCTTCACGCGGCGGTCGCCTTAAAACGGAAGAATCCAAACCTCGAGCGATGTACAGTATCCCTCACCCACAGTACTTGTACCGTATCGATTTTCCCGCACGCCATTGCTCTCCTTACTCCCACCTCGCACGGTTACTCGTTTCGGGCTCCCTGAAGCGCATCGGCACCTTCGGGCATGCTGGCGTCGGACATTTATCTCGTGGTGGCATGCGAGATGGGTACGTGTTTGAGCACCGCATTCGGAATACTCCATTTTTGTGCGGTTTGGGGAACTCATGACATCTCTCCTAGCAATGTTCCACCATTTGGTGTGCCCAGGGCATCCCATTTCGTGCATTTGACTCGTGACGGAATGCGAGTGTCGACGTTTTCATGCCATTAGGAGCTGTGAGTCTCGGCTGAAAAGGCTGTTGTATTTGTCGGGGGCGCCCCACACCATGGCTGCAAAGGTCCGCACATCCCGTGTGGCCGGAGGCAAAGCCAGAAGTGTTGAACTCTTTACATTCCATGCTTTGAGGGTAGACTGATAAGCCGACCTTAACCTACTGTGCAGAAAATACTACAGTGTTTCGTTCACTATGCAAATCATCCCAACCCTCACCTTCCATAAGCCAATCACTATAATAATACCATATCCGATACCGAATTCCCGTCCGCGAAATCAACCCGAATCCAGCGCCAAACCAAACCAACCCAAAACCAAAGTTACAGCAAAAAAAACCCAGGCATGATATCCTCCCATCAATCCATCTATCCATCCAACCAACTCAAAAACTATACACAAAACCACCGAGAGCCATCACTTAAATGATCAGATAAAGACTACACAAAAAACTCGGCCCGGTATAAATCCCCAACCAAAAGATCACATTACCCAGTGTCTCCCGTCCCTTCAGCAACTTTGTGCGACTGGCATACACAAGCGGAACCTGCAACATCTGCGCAACGAGTAAATACCCGCGCAGGCGCTTGAACAGACTCCACATGACCAACTCGTGCACGATAGCACTAAGCAGGAAGGTGATCACGGTAGCGGTGCCGCGGGAAACATGCCAGGTGGAGATGCTGCTATGGTAGACGTGTCGGAGGAGGAAGTTGTGCACGGGCTTGTTCCAGTCACGGGCGAAGGCGTCCCAGGTCGTGGAATTCCACCATGGACCGTAGAAGCCGCGGTCGGCGAAGAAGGTGAGTTCGGCCAGGGCGTTCAGGATGAGTTCCCAGATAAGGTACCATGCCATCAAATACTCTATCATGAACGGGAAGATGAGGTCCAGGAGGATGTACGGGAAGGCTTGCAGGCGCGAGGAGAGTGGGAGAAGGCGTAGGGTGTGGGTCTGCAAGACGACGGGAAGGATGAGGTGTTGGGAGACTACTATCATTATGCCCAGGACGCCGAAGGTTGCTGTGGTCTTTTCCAGCACGTAGGGCCAGTTTATGGTAGTGGTGCGGGGGTACACGAGCTCGTAGACGACGCTGTTCCTATTAGTTTTTTGGATGGATGGATGCTCGAAGGGGGGACGTACGTTGGGAAGTGAATGTACTCAAAATAATTCCACCACGTCAAGTTCTGTGGATACACCACTTTCGGCCCATCGTTATCCTCCACATAACTGCTCAACTCGCCGTTACAAGCAGCGACTTCCTCCATAATTGCCCTCTCAAAGTCCTCGACTTGTGTGCTGTCCAATTCCTCTTCCGATCTCCCTCTGATATCGACCCCGGAATCCGCACTACCGGTCCTGACATGATGTCGCGCATTCGACTCACTCGTATCCAACGCCCTCAACTCTACCAATTTCCTTTCGAGCGACCGCAGCCGTCCGCAAACCCCGCTCAAATGCCCGTTATAGAACGCGTACGAGTGCTGCTTCATGAGCATCACCAGACAATGCAATACTACGAAAACCGTCTGAATCCACGGCCAGTCTTTCCAGAGGGTATATTCAATTACGGCGCCGAGGTACACCGCTTCCCAGACCATCTGTAATACCCACCCGGTGCGCTCCCAAGATATTCTGCCCTTAGCGACAGCTTTTTGCAATGGGACGCACCAGAGCGTTGACCCCCAGAACATGGTTGCGTCAACGAGGAGACAATCTATGAGGTTGTTTGGGTTGAACATCATTGAGAGGATGTCTATTCCAAAGAGGCGGCCTTGTTCTTTGTAGGATGTTGCGGCAAGTTTTAGAATTAGGATCACTACCGACATCCTATTACTAGTCAGCTTCTTTGGCGGGTATGCCCGGTGATGGAGTGAACTACCAGAACACGGTGTAAAACCCGCGAAACGGAGAAGAAGCGGCCTCTGGGCTTCTACGGTCGAATGCGGTGAATCTTTTCGTAAAAACCAGCTATCGAACACGACCAACTTAGTCCTCACTTCATGCAGTGGGAATAAATAGAAAGGAAAGACCTAAATCCCAAACATACATCACTAAACTTCTTCTTTCTCTTCTTCCCCCTAACCACACTCCTGCTCACCAGCAACCTCCCCAGCTCATCATCCATCACCAATCTATACCTTTCCTTCCCCCGAATCTTCTCTAATCGCACGGGTATGGATGCCCGACGTCCAACCTGCTCCTGGAACTCCCTCTCTCCATTTTCCCTCCCAACACCCAACCCTACCACGGGTTTCTCCGTAGGATTTGCCGACAGTCGAGCGTCGTCAAAGTCGCTGGTAGGCGATGCACTCTCGGGGCTTGGTGGGTCGGAAGAAGTAGTCGTTTGTAATTCTCCGAATAAAAATGTGTGAGTTTTGGCAGTGGAGGGAGTGTTGTGATTGCTCGTCGATGGGGCTCTTTGCGACATGGTCAACTTGTTGAACTGTGTCATACCGCCGGGGCGCCCAGTCGAGCAGAACCAGAGAAAAAACAAAGGATGAAAGAGAAAAATTTCTCAACGTGAACTTGAGAAGTGGAGAAGAACTAAGCCTTGAGGTTCTACCGGTAGTTAAAGTAGTTTATTGAGCTCGGCAGGCGGCATATGAGAGAACTGAGTAAATTGATAATCCCAAATCCACCCAACCAACGTCATTAACCGGGACGATTTTGGCTCCGACCCGCTACTAACTTCTCTTCTGATTTCGCGCAGCCGCATCCGTAAAGTTCTCGTGCGCTCCCTTGTTCCTCGAGAGTTGTGCCCATTAACAAGAGAACAGGGAGTGCCTTTTAGATAACTGTTTCCAGATACCGGTATGCCTCTAGGGACAACGCAAAACTTTTATCACAATTTTTCCCCCAAGTAATGAGAATGATATGGTTAGCAAAGCGCTCGCAAGGGCTGGGGGTACAGTATACTTGAAAGGGTATCGTACAAGAACTTTACGAATGCGGCTGCAATATTCGAGTAGACAAGGGAAGAGGATGACACTCTCTTCCGCTAGACTACCGGTAATTTACTTGCATTCCTCCCCAGCACTCTGGATGCATTAGTCTCTGGATGCATTAGTGATCAGATAACGTAAGCCAAGTTTTTCCCCCACTAAACCCCCGCAACTACTCAAGTGTGACGCACCAAAAAAACACGGCTTCGGTCCGGCGACTTGAGTACAGTACCGGTAATCTACCGTACTCTGACGGTGCCGTACAACTCTTGACTCTTACAAAGCCTCTACTCGTACAGTCCCCAACGGGCCGTGACAAATACCAGGCCATGTGACAAATAGGGATATTTGGCGGGCTGAACCCGCCAAAGCAGGGTAGCAAAAAAATACCTATTACTGATCCCCATTGGGGAACTGTGCTGTACCAGTACGGTATTCCTGCTTCCCCATGCCCCTCCAAGGTTGGGAAACTTCCACCACGGAGATACCGGGATCTAGCGCCGGGGTGAGACTGCGTCTGAGCCCTAGTCTACCATTGATTTCCCACCGGAACCTCAGGTTGGATCGGCATTCAAACAACAACTTGATCCGGTGAAAATACCGTAGCCATAACCCTCCGGAGATAAGGCCTCCGATAAGAGATTTTTCCTGATTGATAAGCATTGATGATAAAGTTTTCCCGCATCAATCAGGTCAATATACTCGTAGGGTGAGGAGGATAAAATTCTGACATTGATGCAAATAGGGCTCGCTGGTCGCAACACCCACTAGGCTCATTCTCATTCCCGTATCATACCCCTGCAGGCTTTCGCTTATGTTGGTGTTCGTAGGACCAGATATTGTCCATTGGACCCAAGGCTCTAGGATCACCATTAGTCACTCGGTTTTCGACGAGCATTTCGCACTTTCCACCCAACCGGAATCTTCTGTCACTAGGTATCCGCAATGATCGAGCTCCACTGTCACCACGGTTTCGGCAGTCTGAAAGCAAGTGACCAGAATCGTATCCGTTCGAATTTTCACAGCCCGCAATTCCGTACGCCTTGCCCAGCCAAGCATCCGCCATTCTTGCAGCGTATCCAGCGCGCGAGAGATGTAATTCTCTGAGCGTTAACCCCGGCTCCCCAATACTCCGTCCTAACCCCCCAAACGTAGCTTTCAGATAAAATTCCAACAATCCCATGAATCAGTCATTCCCCCGAGCCTATCCTCCGCCCCCCCCCACGAGTTCATGTCCAATATAGGCAATGGCTCCAACATTGGAGCCATTGTCCAACATTAAACACTCAACTCTGGACTGAACCCGTTGAAAAACACTATGCCAGGAGCCACCGCTTTATATCATGCTCCCGGTAAGCTACAGAAGATTCTCCAAAACCGCGCGCCCGCCACCAAGTAAGCCATGAATAGAAGTTACGCAATACCGTTCGGGGTGCGCTCCGATACGAGATAACCTAACCCAGCTTACGAATTTAGCTAAGTTCTGATGAGCGGGCTGTGCAGGAAGAGGTTTACCCAGTCAGCCGTGGTCAATCACGGGGGCATGAATCAATGTCTGAAAACGTGGCCTCTGTTATGAGAAAATATCGGAAAGTGAGCAACATTGGGCGAGGTTCTGGTTCTCAAGGCTAGTGAAGATCTATTCTGTACGGCATATTGCCAAGGTCAAATTGCTTGGGCTGGAACGAGTTTACTCTCTTAAATTTGCTCCCTGGACCGTAGGATCCTCGAACTAAGGCGTTTACCCCAGATAACCCCACTACCATCTCAGCTTTGGATAAGGCCCACACAGCAAACATACCAAGATATTAGCCAGAAGGTGTACCATTTCCATGCCCGAGCAATCAACCAAGTGCCCTGGCCCTGGAAGCCGGGATTCCTAGGAACACATCTGACCTGGGCCCTTGAAGATACCCAAACCCATGGGTTACAACACCATTCCGAGGGATCGGGTGCACCAGCCCGCAATCGGTAGGACTTGAAGTATCGCCGGAGCCTAGAGGAAAGGCGCGGAAAAGAGACGACGGAAACGTAAGGAGGCGTTCCTGATGCCGGTGTATTGTAGCAATTTCAAAGGAAAGAGATGGGAGAAGAGCCGAGTTATGCCAAGCCCACAGGCGGAAGCAAATTGGCAAGACCACAAATTACCATGACGACACTAAGCCGAAGTCCTACGCATACACTTAGCTACCATCCCAAATGGGTCGATGGTGGCAATGATCGATTTATCATTCCATACAGACCCAAATGCCCATCCTCAAACGACCACCCCCAGACTATACTCTCCGACCCTCATCAAACGAAATCTCTATTGTAATATGACTTCCAAATATGCATCGGTTTTGTCATTGACTATGACAAAATGTTTTTGATATGAGTTTATCACTGGCTGAGCTCATTACATGGTTGACTACAGTGGAATTTCCTCAGAAACTCTATCTTAGTACTTGTTTGGTTTCCTCGCTCATGTTTCCTTTCCCTTTACTACTATGTTGTATAGTATCATTGTCATTGATCCCCCCCGCTCTCTTGCACAAAGTGCATGTCATGGATGCTTGTAGCTCACTCTCTTATAGCATAAATAGGGGCCAATAGCCCCCCAGTAGAGCATCAATCAAGCAAGAATTACAACAATCCCATTTGCAACATTCTCTAGTGATAGTACATAATCAAAGAACCTCCAAACACCGTATATTATTAGGTCCCAGAACTACACTAAAGATCCACTTCCCCACTACAGCACAGACAAGAGCAGTGTCGGCCAGATATTTGACCGAGAGAAAGAGGGAACTGACTCGGCGCTCTGCGAAATTACAATTCCAACCGGCGTAAGTTAGTCTCCATCTCTCGAGGCAGATATCACCCGTCCGGTGCCGCTGACCACGTATGGTAATCAAATCTCCACCGCCGCAACCCACCACTGTACTAATAATGCCGATACTTAGCAAGCAGTATGCACCCCTAGACATAGTAGCTCATTTTCCGCGATAAAACCCAAGCAGTGCATATCTCCCCCACACAAACAACTCTCCCCTCACATAGCCACCTTCCACCCATCCGTCAACCTCTGTACCCTAATGACATAATATGGAACTGTACGAGTACCTCACCAAGATCACACTCTCTCACTCGTTTCCAAATTTCTTTTTCCCTTCCTCACCCTCCAACCAACCAATCAGCCAACCAGCCAGCCACCGAGGCTGAACATCAGACACCACAACGCATTAAAGTCCTCATACCCATCCAAAATCCCAGGACACGATACGGGTGGAACTTTTGTTTGCCGTCGTCCCACACTGCCCGTGTAACCGGCGATCTAAGATGCGCCGTGCAAGGTGGAGGGATCTTGAGCGGGTAGGGTACTCGAGCACAGTAAAGTACGGTACCTCATTGTTGCAAGGAAGACACCGTTTAAATGCACTTTCATCGTGGGGTTTTTTTTTGGGGGGGAGGGGGGGGCGGGGACGGAATTGTAGGGCTGATGCTTTACAGCCTCTAGGTGGCTTGAGGTGATTCGCTGGGGTATTAAGATGGGCTGGTTTCGGCGGATGAATTGCGGTGGAATTGTTATCAAGTGAGGGAGTGGCTATCATAGCGATCATATACTGTTATGAAACATTGGTTGGTATGTTTGGCAGGGTTCGCGGAGCGCCCACATACACCGCACCATACCGTATCATACGCCTCTTGAAACAAAATGTTTGTACCCTTTCCATTTCCTCCACAAAACCCCCGTCACGCTACTTATCCCGATCACATCAGGCCGGCCCAGACAGCTATAATACCCGTATTACCGTACCGGTACTACATCCTCGGGCGCTCGTGCGATACCGGTATGAGGCTGCTCAAGTATCACACTCGAGTAGCGGTGGAGTGGATGAGGATTTTGGGTCAAGGAATTCAATACCCTCAGAGGCAAAAATAATAAACTTAATTTGCTCGGGGTGATGCTGCAGTGCGGTACTAGTACTTGTAGTAAGGGCAAAAAGTTTTGGCAATTTGAAGCCCCTGTCCGTCTCATCACCACTCGTACGGGTATCATACTCGAGTATCATATTATGATACCTGTGTTACCTGTGCGCCCTCCCACACCAGTTCAACCAGAACACCAGTACGCCACCAATAAATAACCCGAGGTCCTAAGCAGCTCAGGCCAGCTCCAAAGACACAGACTCCCCAAGCCTCACACAATCTCCTTCCGTAAATAAGAATTTATTGTGAGGTCACGCAACAGTCCTATCTATCGACTAGTTACTGCCGTAGGATACCGGTACCTCACGCAATCCAGAACGAATGTGGCGGGAGACAGAACACTTGCCAAGAGCCATACCATCCTCGAACGGCAAGCTCAGTACGAGTACTAGTACGAGTACAGTACTCGAGTCTAGACGTGGATACTGTACTGGTACTCAGGATAATGGAGGCCTGACCGCGCTCTCAGAAGAGATAAGTGAATGGAAATTGCTCAGACAAGAAAGAAGTTGCTTCGATACCCCCCAATCCCAAAGTACAGTCGTTTCTGAAAAGTATACATACCCCTGCTTGGCAACACTACAACCAATGATCACCTCAACATCACCCCCTACTATGGCACTACCACACTCCCAAACCCTCAGAGAAGACCAGAAAAGGGAAATCTATGCCCTCTATAAACATACTGATATGGGGTATGGTAAAATTTCAAAGCTTATAAACCTCTCCAAGTTAACTGTTTCAATGGTAGTTAAAAATACGAAATTCAGAGATGGAAACACCCATGATGCCCCCATATCTGGCAGACCAACCAAGATTACTGATGCTAAAAGGCAAGTAATTCTTGATATTATTGATGCTGAGCCTTATTTAGCCCTAAGAGACATTACTCAAAAAGCCAATATTGGACTTGGTAAAGATACTATTAGCAAGATATCCAAAGAAGCTGGATTTAAGCTCAGGATACCTAGGAAAAAGCCATTTTGGAGAAAAAGACAAAAGAAGAAGGGAAAGAAGTTTGCTAGAGTGAGGAGGAACTGGACAAGAGCTTGGAAATGGATGGTTTTTGTGGATGAAGCCACAATTAAATATGATTCAAATCTAGTGGGAAGAAATGTCAGACTTAGACCAGGTGAAGAGTTGGAAGAAAAGAACTTAAAGCTTAGCTTTAAGTCAGGACATACCAATATAGGTGTATATACTGCAATGATTCATGGAGGGAGAACTGAGCTCATTCTTGTAAGGAAGAGGACAGAGGAGGAAAGAACCAGCAAAAGAGAAAGACTTTGTCTCAATTTCCACTAATATGCAACTGAGATTCACCAACCCTACCTCATCCCCTTCATAGAAGCCATAGACAGAGCTTCTCAAACTATCTATATGGCTGCTGATAATGCATCATGGCATAATAGAGCAAAAAACAAAAGATTGTAAGAGGACTGTAGATATCAAAGATGGGCTTGACCTCCCAACTTACCAGATCTCAATCTTATTGAGAATGCCTGGGCAATTCTCAAAAGAGCACTCAGCAAGCAATTCTCCAAGATTGAGAGAAGGCTTCATAGTACAGCAGAATTATTTGAAGCAGCAAAGGAAGAGTAGGACCTCATTCGCCAGGGGACATTTGATGGATGGATTCAGAGGATACCTGAGAGACTTCAGGCTGTATTAGATGCAGATACAAGCTATACAAAATGTTAGCATTGAGAAACTGTTTTTTTCAATTTCTACTATTGTTACAAATGTGTCTTGGTAAGGAAAAGGTTTTCATGTGACTCATGATTATGAGTCATAGGTATGTTATTGTTTTACACGTATGACTCATTCGAGTCATATGACTTGTTATATTTTGATTTGTTCTACTTCACACATGACTTGAGTATGAGTCATAGGATATGCGTTTGGTGAGTGTGCCTTGCAAGTATGCCTTGCAGGTATGCATTGCACATATGATTTATGTTTAACACATGACTTTGTTATGAGGTAATGGGTTTCATGCATGTGACCACTTTGGGTCACATGACTTAAGGCAGGAAGTACACTATATAAGAAGGCTAGTAGGCTGAAGAGGATAGGTTCTTCATACTTTGTTCTAAGTACTTTTCCTACTTCTTGTACTCTGTATTGGAAGTGAGCACACCAATACTTTATCTTATTTCGCTTACAATAAATACTTCATCTATTGTTACTTGTTTGTATTTTTCATTTTGGGCCGTTGGTTAGAAGTTAGTTGTTCTCTCTTAGAAGACACTTTAGTGTGAGATATTCATGGGCTGGTCCCGGTAATCACTGAGTGTAGTTTGGGCGAGGATGGC